TCCCAAGTAGCTGGGACTACAGGTACCCAGCACAACGTCTAGCTAGTTTTAGAGACAGAGTCTTGCTCTTGCTCAGGCTGGTCTCAAACTCCTGAACTCAAGCAATCCTTTTCCCTTGGCTACAGGAGTACTAGGATTATAGGCGTGAGCCCAGCCTTGCTTTACAGTTTTAAAACAACGTATTATTTGTTGAATTTGCTACAGTTTTAAAATAATGTATTATTTGTTGAATTTGCTTTTGAACGCAACGAAAAACAGAATCACAGCCTTAGGAGGATAGCATGCCCAAGTGTGACACCTAGTGGAGCTTGTACTTGGGTAGAATACTAGATATGTGGCACTGGGTCAGATGTACAGGCCATCCAGCCCCGTGTTCTGGCTCAGTCAAAAGTACCAGAGAAGCTTTCTTTAGAGGGTACAGTTGTCCCTTAGGATCAGTCCTTTACTCTGACCAGTTCTTTTCTCCTATTCCTTTAGGCAGCCGTTCTCACACCCCAACTTTTTATGCTAAACACATTCCTATTCCTCCAATGCAGGAACCAGTTATAAGAACATCAATCATACGGAAGTTCCCTAACCACTTTGCTTCTCTTCGGAGCCCATCTACCAGGCATCGCCCTCACCTCATTTCTCAGGTCTCTGTGAACAACACATTCCTCCCTAAAGCTAACTATTTCATCTGTATCCTTGACCCATTTTTCACTATAGAGCACCTGTCATCATGAATTAATTCTATTTTCTCTTCCCTGAATCTTCAACATCTCCTGCTTGTCTAGCCCAAAGCCCGGTATCTATAAAAACATAGTTTTTCTATCTGAAAATAATGAATCCAACCACCTATTGACCTTACATTCTTCTTCTCCACTCTTCTTCTTGGCTTGTTCAACCTTTTTGAAGAAGCCATTTATCTTGACTCCCATTCTTTCCATCGATTTATCAACTCCTTACGTCTTCCCACCCCCAAAACAAAACTGGCTTTGGTACTGCCCTTTAATGCTGTGTTTCCCTGCCCCGTCCACCTCCCTCACCCCCGCTAGTGCAGAAACTGCCCTTTTAAAGATGATCAGCGAGGACTTTCTAATTGCCAAATCCAGTTGGTATTTTTGCTGTAACTTCATGAGTCCCATCCAGCCTACTCTCATTTGCTTATGCCAGATAGGACTCAGGAGGAAGACCTACCAAGCAAGTAAATGGTCACATGTGCTTCACATAATACAGCCAACGACCTCCTGAAACAGTCGTCCACCCTTCAGATTTAGTACATTAAACTCGTGTCAACGAATTGGAGGAACTTGCTATTTAAAGGAGTCCTGGGTCAATCCTTCTGCGGAGGGAATTTCCTTCTGCAAAATGATTATTCTCAAATGTACATGGCTTTAGAAATTTGTTTCTTCCTATTTCAAGCTCCCTTAATGGGACACACCTACTCTCAGCCTCACCCGTGGTTCTCTCTGAGCTATTTATGCATAGGAATCTGGGTTGCTGGTGAAACCAAGCATGTGTATAGTCTGTAAATGAGATCAGGCAAATGAAGAGCTCAACAGCACACAGCACATGTCTAATGAATGCCAAGTATTTTTTATTAATTTTTAAACACTGAGTACAAAAAGTAAAAAGAGGAATAGACGACTATAAGGTAGAATTTTCTATCTTTTAGATCAAAATGTTAAAAAAAAAAAAATCCCCTGAGATACCACTTCCTCCTCCTTAGGATGGTTACCAGAAAAATGGAAAATAGCAAGTGTTGGCAAATAGGTGGAGAAACTAGATCCTCAGACATTTCTGGTGAGAATATAAAACAGCACGACTACTGTGAAAAAGTTTGGCAGTTCCTCAAAATATTAAATATAGGATTACCATATGGTCCAGCAATTCCATTTCTTGGTGCCTAGCCAAGATAACTGAAAACAAA